CCTAAAAAAGAAATTTACTACTTCACAGTCTTGAAAGCATTGTATATAGTTTATGCTCTTGCTCTTGATTTTAATGTTGATATTATCCTTGTTACATAAAATACCAAATCATCGTTAATCTACTGTTATCATTTATAGAATTTCTGTAACATCTACTACCAGTGATGGTAAATGACCTGGTCATTTGCAAATTTTTCAAATGACCTTAAATGACCCCAAAATGACCGGTCATTGTCGGTCATCTCAATTTTGGGTCATTTGGAAGTGACTCATGACCAAATGACCATGGTCATTTAGGGTCATTTGAGGGTCATTTAATCTATAGGTTTTGTAATAGGCTGGGTTAGGCTAGGTATTTGTATACTTGGGCCCAATCTCAATAAAAATTTTTATTCCCGACCCAAGCCAGGAACGGTAAATGATCCGGGCGTTTGATCGAAATTTAAATGACCCAAATCATCAAATCATGACAAGATCATTAAGCACCTACGTATGTCATTTGCACATGAATAATTTTATTGGTCGAATTGCTCATATATAGAGTTATCAAACTTTATTACATTCTTAATCGATAATCGTAGCTATACATGTATTAAAGTCAAAGTCTTACTAAGTCAATATTTATAAATTGAAATCTTTTTATTAACTTTCGTATAAATGTAAAGCGCGGAAGTGAATTAATAAAAGTTCTTCAGTTTACATGAAAATTCCAGAATATATGTAATTTATTATTTCGAACAACGATATAAATATTAATTCACATAGTAAAATTTTTGACTTTAATATATAGCTACGATTATCGATTATATTTAATTTTGTTTGGTAGCAAATTCTGATTGGCTAAATGGCAATGGAATATCAATTAACATATGTTAAATGACCTTATAAGTCATTTGGGTATTAAAATGACCCAATGACTAATCATTTGTCATTTGAGTCATTTGGGTCATTTCAGATCATTTACCATCACTGTCTACTACAGGATCCGAATCTGATCTCTGATCTATAATACAATTTCACCGTCGACTCATCAATTTGTAGATCAATTCTTTATTTGTTAATTCATTATGAGTGATGCACAAGGAAAACCTGTGAGCAAAATTTTATTCTCATTCACTGTGACTGGGCATGACCAATCATATGGCGTGGCGAATAAACAATTATTGTGGCAGATTAAAATGAAATATTTACAATATAAAATATACAATCAACTAAAAAATAAAAATTTTTGGTGTGCATTTTTTAGGGGTTAGGGCAGGGACCCGTAAAATTTTAGATCTAAAATTTTCACAAAAAATCTAAAATTTCAAGTATCAACTCAAATTTTTAAATTCTAAGGAATTTATATCTAAAATTATCAATTTTAACTAAAATTTTCTAAAAATTTACTTATTATATTATAGTTTGTGATACATAGGAATGGGATGCTGCACAGGTGGAACATTTTGGAATTTCGGAATATTTCTGAATTTCATAAATCTGGCCTGCATTAGCAGTAAACTATAATGCGGGCTGCAGTAGATTTAAAATATATTTGATTTGCTTATCCCTAGTGATACGTATTTTATTTTTAATAAAAATTTTATACAAAATTAATTTATTTAACTTCTATGGCATACAGTATATGATTAGTTTGTATTGGATATTGATGCCGTGGTCTAGAGACATAAATTTATGTGACTTAGTTCCTAATTTTATATTTAATAACAATCAGCAAGATTTAACAGTTTTACTAAAACATACCACTGGTGTTCAATACCAGTGTCGGAAAATGGATCAGAAGATCATGTGATTATATAATGTTACGGGGTGAATCGTATCTTTTTACTATAATAATACGAAAATAGATAGTTTTTAGGTAATAAGACAACTCACCAGAGGCATGACGATAGTGATTTAGCAATAATTCAATTTATTAAATGATATTATCAAGGTGATTTATTCAATGTTATAGGGTAATAATATTATAATCCCATAGGATAGAAAGTGGTATTTACAAGAGTGAAATGTCAATGCTTTTATAGCTTTGACTACATCTAAGATAAGGGGCTTACAATAATAATTTACAACATGATTATAATAAATAAAGGTTTTGCTTCGCTTCTTTCCAGATCTTCTTTCTTGATATTCATTCTTTCTTCTATGTGGACTTGATCTTCAGATTTCATTATCTTCTTTGGCTAATAAGCCTCAATTGATAAATCAGTATTTCTTAAATTGATTGCTTCTAATCACGGGTTTACTATGCCTAATTTTGTTGATCTACCTTTTAGCCTGTGACATTCACCCAGACCTATTTTATACATACCAGACATAAATATCTAAACTAAAAATACAGTATAAGTACATAATAATAACAATATAATAAAATAATAAATAAACAAAATAAAGTAAAAAAATATATATATATATCCGTATTCTGATATTTCATCCCCTAAGTGGTCATCATGTATCCTATATGAGATCAGTACTCTAGGAAGGATAGCTCTGCTCACTGCTGCCAGAGTGAATATCCTAACCAGTAGTTTACATCAGAATGATTACCAATTTTCAAAAATTAACTCCTTAAAAATATTATTTGTGTAGCTTGATTATTTAATCGTAAAATTTTTTTTTCATGTAATCTAAACTTTAAATTAAATATTTGATTATCTTCGTAAATTAATTTTTGATCTAAAAATTTTAAAACTAAAATAAAATAATTTCATTCAAAATTTTATAAAAATGCCCCAAAGCCAGAAAGGAAACAATAATCGATATTCAAATTGTCAAAAGTAAGAACATAATTATTAAATAAATTAATAATAATAACTAATATAATTTTCATATAATAGTAAGAATTTAGACAAGAGCAAGAAAAAAGAAATAGTTGATGTTGAAAATGTAGAAAATGTGGAGAATGTAGAGGAAGATTGGTAAAAATAATATTAATAAATTTTTAAATACTATAATTTAATATAATAAGATACTAAAAATAATTTAATTAAAGGTTGAGTAGATGGGTTTTGGAAAAAAATGAGAAAAATATGATGTTTTGGTTAGAAGAAAAAAATAGAAGATTGGAGAAGACGTTGGATAAAATAGTAGAATTGGGAGAATTTAGATTGGAAGTGTTAAGAGGGATGTTGAAAGATGAACAAAGAAGATATGAGAGATTGGATATGGAAAAGAGAAAATTTGAGTTGGGATACAATGTATTGAGGAAAGATATGATTGAGGTGTTAGGTATGATAGATAGGAGAAAGGAGAAAGGTAGAGAGAGACAGAGGTTGAGGGAAAGGTATGATTTAGCAGAATTTGGTGAAGAAAATGAAGAAGAAGATGATGATGATGATGAGAAAGATGAAGAAAATGATGAAGAGAACGAAGAAATAGATGAAGAAGAAGATTATGAAGTTTGGTTAGATGATAAGTTGAGAAAATACAAGGCGATATTAGAAGAGGAGTCGACAAGTGAAGAAGAAGAAAGTAGTTTCCCGATGGTATTAACAGATGAGATTGGTGAAAGTAGTATGCAGTATTTGGAGGAGAATATAGATGAGGATTATATGTAGGAGAATTAGATTTCATTTCTTTGTTTCTTTGTTTTGCTGGTTATATATATATCTTAATAAATTTTATCTTTTTTAGTATTTTTCTTTTCATTAATTTTAAATCTTCTTTTAAATTGTATCTAAAATCAAACTCCTAACTAATTTTAAATTTAAATCCTCAAAATCTTATTAGTAAAAAAAATAATATTATTATGAAAAAAAAATTCAAATTATAATCTTTATATATTACTCCCTTGCTTTAAATAATTCTTCCAGAATTATATTAAATCAAAAACTATTTAACGTAATAATTTAAATAATTATTCAATATCTAATAATAAAATCTTAATAAACTTAAAGTAAGTATTTTGTATTGTACTATGTTTATAATATATAAATTTTCAAACTTAATTAAACATATAATTAAATAAATATATAACTTATCTTTTAGGGATGTTATCCTGTTCCAACCGGTTGGTTCGTGCTAGCAAACCCGCTAAACACTGTTTCAAAGCACACACGATAAACCGGGTCTCAAACTCTGTTTATACAATTTGTTATTGATTATGCTTGTTAAACATGTGATCCGAAGCATGTTACCGTATCTATTATTAAATACATGAACTATTGCTAACTATCGCTATTTATTAAATACATGAAAAAAATATTTTATTACAACTATGTATTATTTATTTAATTTATTGATTCACACAATCAATAACACCCGAATCATACCAAGTTTTTAAGCAAAGACTTGCACAAGCATTCTCTTCGGATAATCGATTGCGTAATGGGCAGATCGTATTTTTTGCTTTAGAAAACATTTCTTCGCTGGGAACACTTGTTGCCTGTACAACTAAGTAGTCCCGAGCCATCTTTGCAAGCCCAGAATAACGTTCATCAACAGACCGTGTTTTCCAAAAATCCAGTGGGTTACAATTCTCTTCAATAGCTGTAAGATATTCTTCAAGAACATCATTAGTATTATTTTTTAATTTATCATTTCGAAACTTACGGAAATAATTTCTTGAATTATTAGTATCTTCGATAAGAGACAAGGAGGATGAGAGGGATGAGGTGTGAATATTTTCATTTGAATATCGTGCATAAACATTATACAAAAGATCACGTATAATTGGGACTGTTTCATTATCAAAGGACGATAATTTTATAGTTGGGTCTAACACAACAGAAATATTGCAACAATTTCAAAGAATAGCCCAATAATCATCAAGTTTTTTGTACATTCGTTGTACAATTTGGCGCTTTATTTGAATCTCACTATTCAATTCTTTATGTAGAATATTTAATATCGTTGGAAATATCAAATGCAAATCTCCCATTGTTGGATGGGTTGATGAAGATAAAATTGGAGTTGCCTTAGCCATCGGCTCAAGTAATGTAACGATTATCTAAATAAAGATAAGTAAATCAAAAATTTATATATTAATTTTTAAATATATAGATCTAAATACTCACATTAATTTCATCCCATTCATTATCATTTAGATAACGATCCTTTAATGTTGGATTATCTTCCACCAAATCATCAGTCATTTCACAAATTCGGAACATCTTTTCAATCATAATATACGTGCTGTTCCATCGGGTAGGTACGTCCAAGTCAGGTACAAGAAAAGGCCTCCCGTTTGTTTGAAAAATTCTTTTGAGGTCTTCAAATAGTGGCTGAGATTTACGTATGTAGCTTGCAAAATTTCTTAATTTTGTAATTGAACTAACGGCTATTTTCATGCCTTCTGAAACTGCAAGGTTTAGTACAT